TTTTTTGAGATGAAGTCTCACTCTCTTGCCCAGGCTGAAGTGCAGTGGTGCAGTCTCAGCTCACTGCAGCCTCCACCTCCCAGGTTCAAGTAATTCTGCTGGGACTATAGGCGCCTGCCACCATGCCCAGCTAATTTTTGTATTTTTAGTAGAGACGGGGTTTCACTGTGTTGGCCAGGCTGGTCTCAAACTCCTGACCTCAGGTGACCCGCCCGCCTCAGCGTCACAGAGTTCTGGGATTACAGGCGTGAGCCACTGCGTCTGGCCTTCTTTTTTCTTTTTTAATTTAAATGCATTATGATTTGTAGAGATGGGCTCTCACTATGTTGCCTGAACATAATGCTTGTCTCCTGCGCTCAAGCGATCCTCCTGCCTCAGCCTCCCAAAGTGTTGGCATTACAGGCATGAGCCACTGTGACTTGCCAAAACATTTACGTTTTGGAACATACCTGAAGGATATACTTTATGGAATGGAATTACTAGGTCCAGGGGTATAATCATTTAAAAATTAGATGCCGGTTGGGTGTGGTCGGTCATACCTATAATCCCAGTTCTTAGGGAGGGTGAGGCAGGAGGATTGCTTGAGTTCAGGAGCTCCCGATGAGCTGGGACAACATTGTGAGACCCTGTCTCTACAAAATATAAAAAAGTTAGCCCAGTGTGGATGTGGTGGCATGTGCCTGTAATCTCAGCTACTCAGGAGACTGAGGTGGGAGGATTGCTTTCAGCCCAAGAGGTTGGAGGTTCCAGTGAGCCATGATTGCGCCACTGTACTCCAGTCTGGGTGACAGAGCCACACTCTGCCTCAAAAAAATACAACTTAGATGCACGTTGCGAAATTGCCCTCTAGAAAGGTCACCCCAGTGTATCCTTTCATCAGTCATGCAGGAGCCTGTCTGCTTTCTTGTACTTTCACCAGCACTGGTGTCCTAGTCAAACTTTTGGGTTTGCAGATCTGATAAGTGAAAAATAGCATCTTCTGGTTTTACTGATTTGCATTTCTCTAATCTGGAATGACCTTGTGCATCTCTTCCTAAGTTTACTGGGGAGAATCCTTAAGATTTTGAGACGCATGCATAGATAGTCATGGGTGGGTGAGCATTCCAGAGGGAGGCACCTATACAATTGCAAAGGCAAAGCATGGGGGGAGTGTTTAGGAAAGATTTATTCAGCAAATACTTACTGTGCAGTTACAATATTTAAGTTGCTGTGAAGCTGCAATGCCGTATAAGGAACCTTCTCTTCTAAGACATGTTTGTGTTCCTTATCAGGGTTGAAAATTCTAGGTGGCCCCAGGTGAGTTTTTAGAGAGCAGCCTCAGAAGTTGAGAATCTGGGTAGCTCCCTTTCTTGTTGGGAGTGTCATGGTTTCTTGGCAGGGCTTTGGAGGATAAGGAGGGTTTGGGAAGGAAGAGATAGGGATGAGGGATCAATAACACATTCTTGCACTGTCGCTCAGGCTGGATTGTAGTGGCGCAATCATAGTTCGCTGCAGCCTCAAGCTCCTGGGCTCAAGCAATCCTTCCACCTTAGCCTCCAGAGTAGCTAGAACTGCAGGTGCATACCACCACACCTGGCTACTATATTTTTTATTTTTATTTTTTGAACTAGGATCTTGTTCTGTCACCCAGGCTGGAGTTCAGTGGTATGATCATAACTCACTGCAGCTTGGAACTCCCGGGCTCGAGCAATCCTCCTGCCTCAGCCTCCTGAGTAGCTAGGACTACAGGAGCATGCCACCTTGTCTGGCTAATTTTTAAATTTTTTTGTGCAGACAGGTTCTCGCTATATTGCCCAAGCTATTCTCAAACTCCTGGCCTCAAGTGATCCTCTCACCTTGGCTTCCCAGAGTGCTGCGATTGTAGGCATGAGCCAGCACACCCAGTTTCATTTTCTTTTAAAATAGAATACATTTTCGAATAAAATAATGCAGAGCCCTGACAGATGTGTAGAGTTTAATGTGTCACAGCAGAAGGGATAGGTGCATTTAACATACTACACATACAACTTTGGGGGTTTTAAGCTGAAGTATCTGCCTGTAATCTTTTTTTATATATTGCTTCTAGAAGGTGGATCAAATGGTATAGTGACTCTAATTATGGCTCTAATTGTAGCTATCATTTGTTTAGCTTCCAGCCTGGCTCTGTGCTAGAGGCTCTGCATGTGTCACTGTTAGTATTGGAAGCTGTATATTACTACCTTTGTTTTCCTCATGAGGACTGGGACACAGAGTCTAAATGACTTGACCAAATTCACAAGAGTAGTCAATGGAGAACACTGATTCAACTGGGTCTTTTAAACCCTGGCATCCAGGTTTTCCCCACTATGCCATACACACTGGGTTTGTTGATGTTGTTTGAAACGGAGTCTCGCTCTGTCACCCAGGCTGGAGTGCAATGGCACGATCTCAGCTCACTGCAGCCTACGCCTCCCAGGTTCAAGCCATTCTTCTGCCTCAGCCTCCCGAGTAGCTGGGATTACAGGCGCGCACTACCATGACTAGCTAATTTTTGTATTCTTAATAGAGACGGGGTTTTACATTTTGGCCAGGCTGGTCTTGAACTCCCAACCTCAAATGATCCACCCACCTTGGCCTCTCAAAGTGCTGGGATTACATGCATGAGCCACCATGCCCAGCCTATACACACTGTTCACAGGGAGGGACATGAGAAAGTAATGATCTGTGTCTCAGTCAGCTCAGGCTGCCATAACAAAATACCTGGGCAGCTGGTATTTTGTTAAGGCAAAATACCATAGACTGGTTGGCTCCAACAACAGACTTTCTTTTCTTTTCTTTCTTTCTTTTTTTTTTTTTTTTTTTGAGACGGAGTCTCGATCTGTCATCCAGGCTGGTGTGCAGTGGCATGATCATGGCTCACTGCAACCTCTGCCTCCTGGGTTCAAGTGATTTTCCTGCCGCAGCCTCCCGAGTAGCTGGGATTACAGGTACACACCACCACATCCAGCTAATTTTTTTTGTTTGTTTTGGTTTTTCTTAGTGGAGATGGGGCTTCACCATGCTGTCCAGGCTGGTCTCAAACTCCTGACCTTGTGATCTGCTTGCTTCAGCCTCCCAAAGTGCTAGGATTACAGGCATGAGCCACTATACCCAGCCCAGACATTTATTTCTAACAGTTTTGCTTGTGCAGAAGTACAAGATCAAGTGCCAGCCAATGTGATTCCTGGCTTGTAGATAGCTGTCTCCTTCCTTTTTTTTTTTTTTTTTTTTTTAAGAGATGGGGTCTTTGGGCGGGCGTAGTGGGTCATGCCTGTAATCCCAGCACTTTGGAAGGCCGAGGCGGGCGGATCAGGAGGTCGGGAGATCGAGACCATCCTGCCTAACATGGTGAAACCCCGTCTCTACTAAAAATACGAAAAATTAGCCGGGCGCTGTGGCGGGTGCCTGTAGTCCCAGCTACTTGGGAGGCTGAGGCAGGAGAATGGTGTGAACCCGGTAGGTGGAGCTTGCAGTGAGCCAAGATTGTGCCACTGCACTCCAGCATGGGCGACAGAGCAAGACTCTGTCTCAAAAAAAAAAAAAGAAAAGAAAAGAGATGGGGTCTTGCTATGTTGCCCAGGCAGATCTCAAACTCACAGCCTCAAGCAATCCTCCCATCTTGGCCTCCCAAAATGCTGGGATTACAGGCGTGAGCCACTGCACCTGGCCTCTTCCTCTTGTAAGGCCCCAGCCCTAGGCTGGGCACGGTGGGTCATGCCTATAATCCCAGCACTTTGCGGGGATGAGGCAGGTGGATCACTTGAGGTGAGGAGTTCGAGACCAGCCTGGCCAATATGGTGAAACCTGTCTCTACTAAAAGTACAAAAATTATCTAGGTGTGGTGGCAGGCACCTGTAGTCCCAGCTGCTCGGGAGGCTGAGGCAGGAGAATTGCTTGAACTCGGGAGGTGGAGGTTGCAGTGAGCCGACATCACACCACTGCACTCCAGCCTGGGCAACAGAGTGAGACTCTATCTAAAAAATAAAATAAAATCAAAATAAGGGCCCCCAGCCCTATGGGGTGATGGTCTCTATGACCTCATTTAACCGTTATCATCTCATCTAAAAGGCCCTGTCTTCAAATATTGTCACAACAGAAGTTAGGGCTTCAATATATGAATTTGGGGAAGACACAAACATTCAGTTCCTAACAGCACAGTACCAGTAAAGAGAAAAGATTAAGACACACAAAACTGTAAGGGTCTGTTCTAGGTGCATAATAAAGTGTTACAATTTATTGTTGTCTTACACAAGTAATGAGATGTTTATGGGTGGGGGGAACCCAAGAAAATATGAGGCCAGGTGCATGGCTTATGCCTGTAATTCCAGCACTTTGGGAGGCTCAGGTGGGTAGATTGCTTGAGCCCAGGAGTTGGAGACAATCCTGGGCAACAAAGTGAGATCCTGTCTTTACATTAAAAAAAGTAATTAGCCAGGTGTGGTGGCATATGCCTGTAGTCCCAGCTACTCTGGAGGCTGAGGTGGGAGGATCGCTTGAGCCCAGGAGGCAGAGGTTGCAGTGAGCCGAGATTGCATCACTGCATTCCAACCTGGGCAACAGAGAGACCCTATCTCAGGGAAACAAAAAAAAAAAGAAAAGAAAAGAAAATATGGATAGGTAAAACAGAAGAAAACAAAAATCATCCAAAGTGGTAACCGCTTTTAATTTTCTGGTGATTTTCCCTTTGTGCATGCGTGTGTGTATGTCTGTCTGTGTGTGTCTGTGTCCTAGAGATATATGTGTGCTTCTGAGTGCGTATGCTCACAGTCTCTCAATACATGTTTCCCAAGTATCCCAATAAACGTGTTTTTCAGATGATGTAGTGACACACGTATATTGACACGGTGGTGGGATTGTGAACATTTGTAACTAGGATGATCAGAACAGGCATAACACCTGGCTGTTACTGTTCTTCCCTCTCAAGTCTCTGCAGTTGCCTGGGGTGGGGCATGCTGACCCAGCAGTAGAAATTGTACTGATGTTCTGTCTTGTTTCCTTCACAGCAGTTCTCAGCCCTGACAGAGGTGCTTTTCCACTTCCTAACTGAGCCAAAAGAGGTAAATAGAACATTCCATGTTAGGAAGAGTGGGTCCGTGGTCCCCGAGATGCTTAAAAAGTGAAGGCCCAGGTTTTCACTGTTCCCTCACTGCAGGTGGAAAGGTTTCTGGCTCAGCTCTCTGAATTTGCCACCACCAATCGTATCAGTCTCAGCTCCCTCAGAAGCATTGTGAAAAGCCTCCTCCTGGTTCCAAATGGTGAGTAACCTCTCTTAGCAGCTGTGGCCAGAGACATTAACTTGACATTCCTTTAGTCCATGGAGTCATTGAAGCATGCTCTGTGGACTGAGCCAGAGTGTTCGGTAATGAGCCAGATGTGTGTGGGACTCAGTCTCTCGAGGGAGCCCGTGTAACAGGTGAACATAGTATAGTGGAATAGCAGTGCCCTGTGGCGCAGCGCAACTCAAAAGTTCAGTCTGTATCCTGGGTTCCATTCCGAGAATGTCCTCTTGTCCTGTCTCTAATAAGGACAGAAATTGAGAATAAGCACTTGGAAACTTTTATAGCAGCTCGACAACGTCCCTTGAATCTAGTATTTTTATTTATTTTTTTTTGATATGGAGTCTCTCTCTGTCACCAGGCTGAAGTGCAGTGGTGCAATCTTGGCTTACTGCAACCTCTGCCATCCAGGTTCAAGTGATTCTCCTACCTCAGCCTCCCAAGTAGCTGGGATTACAGGCACGTGCCACCACGCCCAGCTAATTTTTGTATTTTTAGTAGAGACCATGTTGGCCAGGATGGTCGTGATCTCTTGACCTTGTGATCTGCTCGCCTCAGCCTCCCAAAGTGCTGGGATTACAGGCGTGAACCACTGCGCCCAGCCTGAATCTAATAATTTTTTTAAATGGAGCATTTTTTCTGTTTTTGATAGGGTCTTGCTCTGTTGCCCAAGCTGGAATACAGTGGTGCAGTCATAGCTCACTTCAGCCTCAAACTCCTAGGTTCAAGTGATCCTCCTGCCTCAACCCCCCAAGTAGCTGGGATCACAGGTGGACACCACCCTTCCTGGCTAATGATTTTTGTGTATAGAGATAGAGTCTCTCTATGTTACTCAGGCTAGTCTCAAACTCCTAGGTCAAGTTGTCCTCCTGCCTTATGGATTCCCAAAGTGCTGGGATTACAGGTATAAGCCACCATGCCCAGCTTCAGTTCAAGTGTATTAGAAGTTGGGGGTTTAATTTGTTTGCTTCTGTTCGGCACCTTCCTATGTCTTAGTGAAGTTTCTTCCTTTTGCCCTGTATTGTGCTCCTGAGGTTCGGGGGGCTTGAACCAGAACATTCCAGAGATTTTCAACTGTGAAATTTTCTGAGCCTCGTTTTTATGTGATTCTTGCCTTCTTTTTTTTTTTTTTTTTTTTTGAGATGGAATTTCAATCTTGTTGCCCAGGCTGCGGTGCAATGGCACGGTCTTGGCTCACCGCAACCTCCGCTTCCTGGGTTCAAGTGGTTCTCCTGCCTCAGCCTCCCAAGTAGCTGGGATTACAGGTACCCACCACCACACCCAGCTAATTTTTTGTATTTTTAGTAGAGACGGGGTTTCACCATGTTGGACAGGCTGGTCTCGAACTCCTGACCTTAGGTGATCCACCCACCTCGGCCTCCCAAAGTGGTAGGATTACAGGAGTGAGTCACTGCACCTGGCCATGAGGTCTTTTTTTTGTTTGTTTTTTTGAGATGGAGTCTTGCTCTGTCGCCTAGGCTGGAGTGCAGTGGCGGAATCTTTACTCACTGCAACCTCCACCTCCCGGGTTCAAGTGCTTCTCCTGCCTGAGCCTCCCGAGTAGCTGGGATTTACAGGTACAGGCAAGTGCCACCAAGCCTGGCTAATTTTTGTATTTTTAGTAGAGATGGGGTTTCACTATGTTGGCCAGGCTGGTCTTGAACTCCTGACCTCGTGATCTGCCCGCCTTGGCTTCCCAAAGTGCTGGGATTACAGACGTGAGCCATTGCACTCAGCCAAAGTCTTTTTATATAGGAATACTTTTTTTTTTTTTTGAGACAGGCTTTTGCTCTGTTGCCCACACTGGAATGCAGTGGCATGATCTCAGCTTACTGCAACCTGCGCCTCCCAAGCTTAAGTGATCCTCCCATGTCAGCCTCCAGAGTAGCTGGGACTACAGGCGTGCACCACCACACCTGGCTATTTTTGGTAGTATTATTATTATTATTTGTAGAGATGGGGTTTTGCCATGCTGGCCAGGCTGGTTTCAAATTCCTGAGCTCAAGTGATCTGCCCGCCTCAGTCTCCCAAAGTGTTAGAATTACAGGTGTGAGCCATTGCACCAGGAGGAATAAATTTTCATTTTAAACTTTCAAAAACAGTACAGAGCTATAGAGAGTGAAAAGTAAAAATCCCCTTTTACTCTCTTCCTACTCTCGTCCCTAGAAATAATCACAATATAATTTTGGACTATAGCCTTTTATATTTTTATGTACACTAATGAACATATACATTTATGTAGCTTTGTTTTCATAAATGGTAGCAAACCGTAAAACGTGTCCTGGAACTCACATTTTTTTCATTATACCTGGTGACATCACCTTCATTCTTTAGGTGGCTGTAATATTCCATAGACTGAATATATCTCCTTTTAATCTATTTCCTGTTGTTGGATATTTCCGTTGTTCTCACATCTCACCCTTACAAACAACGCCACAGTGAACATCGTTACAACCTCTTCTTACTCACAAATGTGAGTATTTCGAGACCAGCCTCACCAACACGGTACCTAAAGTGCAGAACCACAAGCCTTTTTTTTTTTTTTTTTTTTTTTCCTGAGACAATCTCATTCTGTCACCCAGGCTAGAATGCAGTGGTGCGATCTCGGCTCGCTGCAACCTCCACCTCCCGGGTTCAAGTGATTCTTCTACCTCAGCCTTCTGAGTAGCTGGGATTACAGGTGCCTACCACCATGCCTGGCTAATTTTTGTAGTTTTAGTAGAGACCAAGTTTCACCATGTTGGCCAGGTTGGTCTTGAACTCCTGACCTCAGGTGATCTGCTGGCCACGCCTTCCAAAGCGCTGGGATTACAGGCATGAGCCACCATGCCCATCCAGAACCATAAGTCATTATTCTCATTCTCTAGCCTTCATCTTTGGAAATGGGTTTATCTGAGGGCTGAGACCTGTCTACCAAATACCTGCTATGGGCACTAATTTTTCGGGAGACCTCTGTCTAGTGTCCCTGTCCCCAGTCTTTCCTGTCTTCCTCATCTATGCTCCCCACCACACTGTACACTGTATCCTTTTTTTTGTTGTTTGTTTTTTGGAGACAGAGTTTTGCTCTTGTCACTCAGACTGGAGTACAGTGGCAAGATCTCGAATCTTGGCTCACTGCAACCTCCATCTCCCAGGTTCAAACAATTCTTCTGCCTCAGTCTCCTGAGTAGCTGGAACTACAGGCATGCACCACCACGCCTGGCTAATTTTTCGTATTTGTATTTGTATTTGTATTATTTATTATTTCTTTTCTTTTTTTTTTTTTTTTTGAGACAGAGTCTCGCTCTGTCGCCCAGGCTGGAGTGCAGTGGCCAGATCTCACCTCACTGCAAGCTCCGCCTCCCGGGTTCCCGCCATTCTCCTGCCTCAGCCTCCCGAGTAGCTGGGACTACAGGCGCCCGCCACCTCGCCCGGCTAGTTTTTTATGTATTTTTAGTAGAGACAGGGTTTCACCGTGTTAGCCAGGATGGTCTCAATCTCCTGACCTTGTGATCCGCCCATCTCGGCCTCCCAAAGTGCTGGGATTACAGGCTTGAGCCACCATGCCCGGCCTATTTTCTTTTTTTTGAGATGGATTCTCACTCTCTCACCCAGGCTGGAGTGCAGTAGTGTGATCTTGGCTCACTGCAACCTCCACCTCCTGGGTTCAAGCGATTTTCCTGCCTCAGCCTCCCAAATAGCTGGGAGTACAGATGTGCGCCACCACACTCAGCTAATTTTTTTTTTTTTTTTTGAGACAAAGTCTTGCTCTGTCGCCCAGGCTGGAGTGCAGTGGCATGATTTCGGCTCACTGCAAACCTCCGTTTCCTGGGTTCAAGCAATTCTCTTGCCTCAGCCTCCTGAGTAGCTGGCATTACAGGCGCCCACCAACAGGCCTGGCTTTTTTTTTTTTTTTTTTTTTGTATTTTTAGTAGAGACGACGTTTCTCCATGTTGGCCAGGCTGGTCTCGAACTCCTGACCTCAGGTAATCCGCCCGCCTTGGCCTCCCAAAGTGCTGGGATTACAGGCGTGAGCCACCCTGCCCAGCAATTTTTTGTACTTTTAGTAGAGCTGGGGTTTCACCATGTTGGCCTGGCTGGTCTCGAACTCCTGACCTGAGGTGATCTGCCTGCCTTGGCCTCCCAAAGTCCTGAGATTATAGGTGTGAGCCACCGTGCCCTGCCTATTAAAAATAAATAGAGTCAGGGTCTTCCTGTTGCCCAGTCTGATCTCCATCTATCCTAGGCTCAAGCGATCCTCCCGCCTCGGATTCTAAAAGTGCTGGGATTACAGGCATGAGCCACCACACCTGGCCCCCCACTGGATCCTGTTAGATTGCCTTCAGCTGTTCCCAGTCCTTGAGCTCCACCCCTGTGCTGTCTCAGAAAGCCTTCCCAAATTGCTTGAGTTCACAGTGACCTCCCCTTCCAGCATCTGAGATATGCTTTTTATCTGTAGCTATCATTTTGGTCAGTACTCATTTACAGGTTTCTGTTGTTCCTGCTGTTTTGTTTGTATCTGATGTATCTGTCTCATGGCTCTAATAGATAGTTCCTCAAAGTCAGGGGCTAGTCTTGTTCTTTCCTAAGCCATGGTTAGAAGCAAGGTAATGGCATAAAGCAGGTGCTCAGTACATGCAGAGCGAATTGAATATGATTTAGGAGATGCTGTGACCGTCACAGGGGACGTTGAGTCTATATTTTCCTTCTTTTTTTGCAAGGGGACAAGGTCTCACGCGGACTGATCAGCATAACTCACTGCAACCTCCACCTCCAGGGCTTAAGTGATTCTTCTACTTCAGCCTCCTGAGTAGCTGGGACTACAGATGCCCCAACACACCTGGCTAATTTTTGTATTTTTTGTAGAGACAAGGTTTTACCATGTTGCCCTGGCTGGTCTTGATTCTTGAGCTCAAGCAGTCTGCCTGCTTTGGCCTCCCAAAACGCTGGTATTACAGGCATGAACCACCATGCCTGGCCTAGTTTATATTTTTCTCTTT